AACATATTTGCATTTGTTGTCATTGGAATTACCGGCTCTCGGCAATCAACGCACAGCTGACGTATGAACCAATCGTTTTATAACATTTTCAACCCGATGGTTTAAATGTTCTAATAGGGTTAATATTCCCTTTGCTATGCTTCAGCGCGTTGATGATTTTGTTTCAGGAAAACATTTTGCTATGCTGAAAACGATCTTGTCTTAGATTGGTCAAAAAACTGACAGGTGAATTCATGCGTGTAAATGAACTCGTTCCTTTGGGGGAGTTAAAAACTCCATTCCCAAAGAAAAAGTAGACAGTTCTTCCTCATCAGCTGGCTCATAACTTTCCACGTCTAGCTTAAATTGTCGCCGAAGTCTTAACCAGTATTTTAATAGTAAAATCCCAAAGTAAAGAATCGCGGAAAAAAATGTTTTTCTCGAGGGATTTGTTTGCTGACGTCATGAGCGTGCACAATAGGAATATGAAGCACGCTTACGCAATTGAATTTGATTCGACAAATTTACTAGCTATGTTATAATCTTGAATGACACTACTGATGTTTGCATAATTTTATAACATACTCCAAAAACAAAACGATGAAAGAGTAGCGAAAAGTTAGGTTCACTATAGTTGTATGTTCACTACGAAATGATTTTCCGCTTAATATATATATGTTATTTGCCGGCTGGGAGGTCCGTATGGTGAAAAACTGTGACCGAGGTCTTGCGGCCGAGGGCAGCATTTTCAAGGCCGAGGTCACAGTTTTTCACCATATGGACCGACCCTTAGCCGGTAAATAACATTTTTTTTTTTTTTTTTTAACTTAACGAAATACGTTCTGAAAGAACCCGAATGATTTAGGGCTATAAATACGGCAAGATCTTCCATAAACTGAACAGTTTTTGAGCGAGTAAATGGTAGTCGAAGTAAAGGTGATACAAATCAAAGAGAGATGCCTCACCAAAACATTTTCACTTGCGTAATGATAAAGGTGATTTAAAAGGCTTCCAAACAAAGTTTGAAACATTATTTTTACGAGTATCTGTCACAATCTGACACCTGTCAATTAGAGAGCGCGTAAGAAAAAAAAAGCGCAAGAAGATTTGAAAAACAACGGAACTAGTTTGGCAAGGACTGTCACGACAGTGTTTTCTTCAAAAACAGTCGATGATGTAACGGAAATCATTATTCACTCTCATCGACGATTCATTCACGTACGAAGATTTACCTCTGTTCATTAAGTAAACGGCCAGGAAAGTAATTGTGAGTAAGTTCAAATTTTTTATTTTGAAGTTGTGAGAGTTTGCTCGTTTGTTTGCTGCAGCGGCGTGTGTAAATCTTGTCTTTCCTCCACAAAAACTAAATTCGAACGGCACACTCCAACGAGACACAAGGCCGAGGTCACAGTTTTTCACCATACGGACCGACCCTTAGCCGGTAAATAACATATTTTTTTTTTAAAACTTAACGAAATACATTCTGAAAGAACCCGAATGATTTAGGGCTATAAATACGGCAAGATCTTCCATAAACTGAACAAATTTTGAGCAAGTAAATGGTAATTAAAGTAGAGGTGATACAAATCAAAGAGAGATGCTTCACTGGAACATTTTCACTTGCGTAATGATAAAGGTGATTTAAACACGGAGCGATCCTATAAAAGGTCAGCGGTTTGCACTTTGTTGGCTTCCTTCGCACCGATAATGGCGGCTTTCTGCAACGGTCACTATCGTTATAAATCTTCTGCTAAATCTCTTGTTGTCTGCTTTCAAGAAATAATACATTAAATTATTTATTTACAACCCCCACCATTTGCTTACCTTTTCAAGAGTGTCTTAAATGTCGTTCTTAGACAAAAAACTCAAGAAACGAGCGAAAACTTCCTTCCCGTTCGGAGAAAATTCAAATTTCGCGGGCGCTCAAGATCGATGAACGCATGTCCTTCGTTGAGAAAATGGGCCTGCAATCATAAAGATAATCTATTTCTATACCTTGAGCATGCCTGTAGGTTCTGTACGATAGTGAGGCTTGTACTTTGAGTTTTGGCGGCGGGAAAGTAAAACAACAAAACAAACAGAAGTTATGTGTTCGTATGTATACGTTTTGCGACCATGCTAGGCCGCCATAGTGCAAATGCACCTCCAAACTGTTCTATTCAGAACAAAAAAATCCGAAATTCTGAGTACTACAAAGAAAAGAAAGAGTCTTTAAAGGCTAAAAAGGTCAGGTAAGACTTCAAAATAGAGTTAAACAAAGAAGAAGAAGGCCGCCTGGAGTCGCTGAAGATGAAAATTGCATCCATCAAAAAAGAGCTGCATTTGGATAACAAACTCGTTCCTGCAGCAAACGCTCGTTTTATGGAAATTTTAGTAGACAACTGGCTTGTACATAATGCCAAAACCGAGGCAAATGGTTTAGAAACTGCACACTTTGTGGACTTTGATAGTATGCAGTCAGTAATCGAAGAGGAGACAAATGTAATGTGGGATTTCCCTGTCTGAGGAAGAATACAATACTTCCAGCCAGTAACTTACAACTATGTTTTTTTTTGGCACAAACCAAACGAGAAAAGAAGACTACAATATATGTACAACATAATTTATTCAGCTTTTCTACATAGCTTATTATTTATTACATTGGGAAATTAATTTTTCAACTTTGGAAGCGCATTCCACATTTTTGAGGGCAGAAATAACCGAATTTTTTCCTTTTGATGTGCATGCGGTACATGAAAGATCAGATGTGAAGCATAGTGTGTGCAAGTATACCGGTACATTGTAAATGAACTGATCGAGGCAATTAATTGTTATTACAAACAGTATAAATGGATTTCTGAATTAAACCTCAAGCTACTTTTTATAGTCCAGCGGAATACTAAAAATCTTTGCTCGTGATAAAATGCACCTCTACACTAAGGGAAGCTTATATACACTAACAGAAAGCGAACTACAAATATTTACCCTGTGTTCGAGTTGTGTTGAATACAATTCAAGCTTTATTCAAGCAAATTTCGCTATAAACATGCACTGAAACAATGCAAATACACATTCATTGATAATTTTCACGATTGACTGTAGTTTGAACGTGGGCATCTATAAAGAATAATTTTCACGATTGATTGTAGTTTGAACGTGGGCATCTACAAAGAATTACATTTCTGTCAAGCTCGGCTGAAATTACGCGACATGTAAATCAAGCTACATTTATAAATTTACCAGCATCTTCCTCTTCACGGACATTGCTATCTCGTGTTATTTTTGCTCTTTTCCTTCGGCTTCACAAAAGAACGCAGAGATTCCATTTCATTCACTGGCATTAGAAGTACAACCTAAACATGGCATTTACGTTGAGAAACAAACTCCAAAACAATCGATATGCTTTCACAAGTGAAACAACAAAAAAGGTGTTAAAATGCATGTATATGAAGTACGATACCTGTCTAAATTCTTCTTCTGTAGATGCCATTCTTGTTGTTTTCGCTTACCTTTTCACAAAGCCGAGAAGCAAACAAGCGAAAAGACCTTCCCTTGTGCGGTCGCCTGAAAAATTACTTCGTGCGAATTTCGCGGGAGTACGACACGCCTGGGTGAATAAGCCAATCAAAGCAGAGTATTCCAATTTGTGATTGACGGGCTGAGCCGCTCAGCCTCAATTTATAGGATCGCTCCTTGTTTAAAAGGCTTCCAAACAAAGTTTGAAACATTATTTTTACCAGTATATGTCACAATCTGACACCTGTCAATTAGAGAGCGCGTAAGAAAAAAAAGCGCAAGAAGATTTGAAAAACAACGGAACTAGTTTGGCAAGGTCTGTCACGACGATGTTTTCTTAAAAAACAGTCAATGATCTAACGGAAAGTATTATTCACTCTCATCGACGATTCATTCACGTAGGAAGATTTACCTCTGTTCAATAAGTAAACGGCCAGGAAAGTAATTGTGAGTAAGTTCAAATTTTTTATTTTGAGGTTGTGAGAGTTTGCTCGTTTGTTTGCAACGGCGTGTGTAAATCTCCTTTCCTCCATAAAAACTAAATTCGAACGGCACACTCCAACGAGACACAAGGGGATTTAATGCGGCTTTTTCTCAATAAATTCCTTCAGTTTCTGTTGTGCAATTTATGATCCAAATGTCCAAACTGAACGGACTTGGAAAGACTCACTGAGAGCGTATATTTATTGTCGAACTGAAATTAAAACTTCGCTCGCTCTTTCACTACGAACAAATTGTTTGAGAAAATTCAGATATTAAATGAATGAAAGTTCCATTGTTCAGTTTACCTGTAACCAAATACCTCACATTTTAACTTTCTAGGTACTTTTTGTGAATGATTAAAATCAATTGCAGACGGTTTTTAGGCTTGTCAACCAACGTAATGAAACCAACATTTTTTTGTCAACCAAAGTGATTTGAGAGAGAGAAAAGAGAGGATTCATAAGTCGGCTTAAGGTAGTGACCGATGTATTTGCTTAAAAATACTGCCTAGCCGGCAAAACGAGGTATATTTATGAAAAATGGCAACGAAATTTGGGATGTACTCGGCGACTCACGAAAGCGTTGCCGTGGCCCGTGGGCAGAGATAGGAAAATACTGACCAGGTTGAGAACCAATCAGATTGCAGGATTCGTTACCGTGCCCTCTAAAAAAAAAATTAAAAATAAATATTGACAGTATCAATTTAATGAGCTAAATACCATCGAACTTCAGACTTCGCTTTTAAATTTTGTAAATCATCGTAGAGAAGCATCGTAGAGAAATATTACTTAAAATAGACGGAAATTTTGTTGAAAAAACAGCCCGCTAAGTCGGAGCGTGTCGCAAAAAAAAGGTGTGAGAGTAGGCCGAAAACTATGGTTAACTAATCAGATGGAGAGCAAACACAAACTTCATACAAACGAAAACCTTTGGCTTGACCTTGCAGAGTACATTTAAAGAGGTCGTTATCACACTTACTTGAATTCCTAGTCGATTCAAAATATGGAAAACAAATTATTCTGTTTCTATTATTAGATCTTCATATGGCTTACTTGTTTAACATATTTGCATTTGTTGTCATTGGAATTGCCGGTTCTCATTTCCGAGGTACTTCTGCGGAAGCCAACTCATCGACACGCCGTTGGAGAAAAAGACCTATTCACCAGCTGAATCTCACCGTAGCCTGGATTGAAAGACCTCCATATTTAAATTCCCCTTCTAACGAATCCATTGAAGACGAAGTCGCTGGGTTGTTTCGAGATGTAGTTTTAAAGTATTTGATTTCTGAATGTGGTTATACCGATGAAAACTACAGATATATTTACAATGTGAAAACAAAGAAAGCTCAAAGTGAATTTGAAATGATCGAGCTGTTGAGGCGAGACGAAGCGCACATAGCTGCTCCTATATTCAAACAACAACACGATGAGCATTACAGTGAATTTCTATTTTTCAAAGTGCTTAATTATCCTGGAACCGAATACATAACAACAGCTGAAGAGGAAACCAGAGCTATCATTGTAGTATTTAATTCTTTGCTGAAGTCTTGGCCTTTGCTTGCCTTTACACTGATCCTCACGGCCATAGCTGGAATTATCATCTGGGTACTTGTAAGTATTACTCTACTCCTGATTTTAAGGTTCTTGCAAACTTCCTACCCACACAAATGCGAGCCAAAAAAGTTCCTTCTATTTCTATCTCCCTTTAAATTACATTATCCCCTGAACTCATACAGCGTTTTTGAAGTAACTCAGTGGGTGTTCCGTAAGAGGCGTTTCTTTAAGTTCCACATGAAGCTAAGCCTTAAGAACCAATGGAAAAGTAACATCAAAAATCAACAAGTTTATTCGATCTCACTAAATATCCAACTGCAGCTTTGCTTTGTTTGTCTGATACATTCAATCTTAACAATAACATACTGCAGACGCATTTTCGAAACTATACAATAGTTTAGTACCCTTCCGCTCGATGTTTGGACTGAATTGGTGAGATTTTGACTTACAAAAACCAGTCCAGTTTTGACCATATCAAGAGGGTCAATGACCGTTGATAATAGATATTTAATATGATTAGTGATTTTAATGTACACCCGTGCGAGAACCAACATTGCTTTGACAAGGGGCTAGTACTCGAAACTCTTTACGAAAGCTAACTTACGTTGTCAACTCAGTTGATGATACTAAATTACCCTGTTATACTCTCCCACCAACGCAGCACCACAGTTTCTTTAGAAACTTACCCCTTTATTCATTAATCTTCCTTTAGCTAACAACTATATTTGAAATCCTAGGATTCATATTGGAACAGTGAAGAGTTTTCGCGTTCATTCTTCAGAGGCTCCTGGGATGGTTTTTGGTGGTCTTTCATTTCCATGACAACCGTAGGGTGAGGAGAGCTCTAAGTATTAGGATTTATCCCAAATCATAATTGAGGTGTCAGTTACATATTGATCAGGTGACGTTTGATTTCTTACAATGTATTTCATGCAGATTTTCCCCTTTTCTGGCGAGGACCAGGCAAAATTCATACATTGTACTGCTAGAGTGCTCCCGAAAATCTGTCACAATGCTTCAGCTTTAGCTAATTAGTCAGTAAAAGTATAACTATTGACTTTAGACTTCCCATAATCAATTTAGCTTATTAAATCACGACAGAGGAGGTCGAGCAGTTAATCGCAGTTGCGCTCTCTGAGCTAATGCTCTCCTATCCACAAAACTGATCACACGTTTCATAAAAACGTATTTTCTGTTTGTTCTTTGCTAGATATGGAGACAAGGCTCCAAAATCTGTTCTGGCTCGTATATTCTCGGTCATCTGGATCCAGTTTAGCCTTATAATCATGGCTGTCTTCACGGCAAATGTAACATCTGCATTGACAGCTCTTTCTTTGCATCTGGAACCAACCAGCCTTGACGCCGTTGATGTTAGTGCAGATAATTTGACATTGCATTATATCAGTTTTAATGAGCCATAACAAGGCATCTGTTTTACAACCCTGCAGACTCCAAGAAACTTATATAGAGAATTGTCTCTATTTTAGTAATTGACTATCCATAAAAAACAAGGACCATGTAAAAGAAAAAAGTAGCCAAAACGGATAACATAAACTTCCTATCATAGTACGGCACTTTCTACAAATGGGGCTCACTAGACTTAAAACATTTATCTGCGATTCTTTGTATATGTGCTGTTCTTGGTTTTATTACTAACGTATTTTCTTTGGAGTCTTTCAAGTAAGAAAAGTCATGTGGAATTTAATCTGTCCAAATTACCATGAATGTTATTTTGCGCTTTATCCTTAGGTTGCAGTGTTGAGCAATGGAACCGAATACCAACATGCGCTAAAAGAGCATGCACGTCCGAAAGGTCAATGGGAAATCAATTTAGCTAAACTAGATATTGACATATATAACAAACAGAATTATGAAGTTGGTAACTCTTGGTAACTTTTTGATCTCGGTAATGGAATAGAGAGAGACTTTTTTTTTTAATTCGTCAATAGCATAGCAAAAATAAACGATTCTGAGTCCCCATAAGGAATCGTATTTAAGACTCTGTGGTGAGTTAGGGGTATAACTTAACAAATGCATGTGATGTGCGTCCTGCATGCTGCTAGGTTCAGTAATGTCAAAAGCGTCGTGCGCATAAACATAATAAGAAAGATAAAAAAAATTTAGTCAATGAGTATAACAGAAAAAAAATTTATGTTCCTTTTTGTTGCCAAATGGGAGAAAAATTTCGAAAAATATGAAACTTCTGCAGTAGTCATTTTACCAAGAAAAGCACAATTTCAAAGCTCTGGACTGCATATTTGCGCTGCGTTGCCAGCATCTGCTTTAATTTTAAAACATTTATGACGAATGCAAGAAATAGCATATTTGTTACAAAAACAGGATTAAAAAGCAATAACTGAAAAAAAATTATTTAAAGAGACGTCATCTATTATTCCGTCTTCGTAGTGTTTAACAGCATCGATGATGCCATTGAAGCACTGGAATCAAAGCAAGTCAACGGAATGTTATTGGACCGCTACGCTGCTTCCTATTATCAAAGAGATGGCAAACTGGAATCCCTTGTAACTGTCAAGAAGTTAGATCTACAAAGAGACATAGGAGCGCTGTTTCATAACAACCGAAAGGCGCTTGCCGAGTGCTTAATAAACAGTTTCCGTTCAGACATATGGAGATCGGTTCAAGGCATTACTGACTTATACAAGGTAATCTTTAAAGTAAAGAAAGAAGGACTTGAAATTTTGGCATCAAATTTCTAGATTCTTTATACTACGAGTAGAATCAAGTAAAGTTGATAATGTAAGTGGTGCTTGTGCTGTACGGTAAAGTGCGATATGATAAGCAATGTTAATAACACACGCGAAGTCAGCGGCAGCGTTGTAGTAATCGTGTGCCAAATAAGGTATTAACAAACAGACAAACCAACCACAAATAACAACTCACCATAAAGCAAAGGATATCATATGTTATTTCATGGTTTTATTTCATAATTAGTTAACACAAGAAAGGCCTCCGACAAGCTTCAATCTCTTTGACGAATCCTCCCCATTCGTCAGAAATTCCATGTATACATCACTTGGAGTGTTGGCTGTTTTGCTTGTTATTGGTATGTCGTGGGAAGTGCTCATTAGACTGAAAGGAAAAGGAAAAGGAAATGTCGTCATGCACGTAGGTGAGCGTGTTGATCAATTTTCTTTAAAAGTAAGCTTTAATATAAATTAATACATACCACGCAGCTGAAGGGAACTTTTCGCGCGCACTGATTGGCTAATTCGGAAGTGAATAACAAGTACTCTCCACCTCCGAGAGGCAAATGAGACAAAATCGCGCGTCAGTAGTTTAATGTCCGACCATTTTTCGGTATATTGAAACAAATAACTTGTTTTTTTATCTTTGTGGTATAAACTAAATAATTATTCACCTCAGTGTCGTTAAAAGTGGTGGATATTTACCTCGCCACTTCGCCGCTCTGCAGGTATCCGTCACTCTTCACCTCCTCTAAGGTGAATAATTGTTGAATAAAAAGTAGAGATCAGCAAAGCCGTACAACGATTCAAGGTCTCACCAACGGAAATGAAGATGGAAGGCAAGAGATACGCTTGACCAAAATTTTCATCACTGTTCTTAAAGATGAGGGCCTTTTTGGGACGGATTGATAGAGATTCAGTCCTTCTGTGTTTCAAAAAATTCTTCAAAAAACACTGATATGTAGAGAACTTGTGTTGAGCATATTCCCTAAAAATTTGTTCATATTTGTATTAATTTCAAATAATGAAGATAACGTAAGGAAAAATGTCATTATGTAAATTTAAAAAGTAAAAAGCTAAAAAATGTTTAAGAGATTAAAATCGATTCTAATTGAAAACGCGAACGACGAAGGCAAAAGAAAATATGATATAACATGAAAACTTAAAGAATACTTTACCAGTTGCATTCGAGTGGAAAGCTCTACCACGTCCCTGTAGTTATACTATGTCTCTATAATGAGGGTGAATTACTGGTTTCTACTTATTGTAAATGCGACTGCAAAGTGAAAAACTTTGAGAATTAAAGAGCCTATGACGATAAATTCAATTCATGCTCTGTTCGCAGCGACTGTTGAGTACAGCGAGTATCTTCTGGTAACTTCAATGTTTAACATTGTACCGTGGAACGATAACCGCAGTTTTTAAAATTACGATTTTTCTTTTTCGTAGATGAGGTCATTAATAAAGGATGGGTCTCAGAGGGAGAAACAGTTCGCGCCGAACTTGAAGTAATGCGACGGCTCCTGCGCACCACACAGGAACAGTTTGACAAACTGGAGTCCAAAGTTTTTAATATTAGACTGAAATGACACTGATCAGAAAAGCTGTTAATCCATGTAACAAATCGATTCCATGTTTCCGTACATTTGTTCAGTAATAGATCACAGGAGGTGCAGCCAATTGTGTCATGCACCGATGTTCTAACCACATTTTTACGTCTACTGTGATCTTCTATTTCACAGACCTACGGCAACATGGAATCTATTTGATTTATATGATAAAAAAGCAAAATGTTGCTAATGCTGACGTCGTATATTCGTCTATCTTCCCAATGTATCATAAATGAGAACCAGTCAAAACGCAGGTAGTTTTCAGCTTATAATATAGAGCATTATCAGCTTTGTTATGAGGATAATTGTTTAGTTAACTGAGATAGTTTTTTCAGTAAGAATGGCACTTCATTTGGAATTTTTCTGGCTTTGATACTCATTGGAACTATTTGATCATGAGAAGGAAAGCAAATTCACGAAAAATCAAGGAAAAAGATAAATTTGGTGAGACTGTAGTTTTACGCATGTTAAGACTAGAAGGCTCACAGTTTAAGGTTGAACTTAACATTAGTGAACCGAAAATAATATTTCTTGATCATTGGTTTACCGTAAATACATTTTTTTGCAGTCGGCAAGGCTAAAATAGAAAGCTCGATACAGTAACATGAATGTTGATACAATAGGATCGGTATGCTAAATCACTGAGGCAGCAAATGAAATTACAACTGATACAAAGTTTACGCAAATCTAGATATATCGGATTTAAGTAAAACTACTTTGGGACTAATGATTGTAGATATATGAAAATCATATATCTGCACTACGGTGAAAAAACGAACATAAGAGATCTTCGCAGCTATGAACACTACTGAGCTGGTAATTGAAATAAGACCTGAAAAAAATTTTTTGGCCCGTACGGCATTTGAACCCACGACCTCTGCAATACCGATGCAGCACTCTACCAACTGAGCTAACAAGCCAACTGGGAGCTGGTCAATGTGTTGGGTCTAAATAAACCGTCCAAATGATGAATAATGATTGTAGCCATGAAAATCATACATATGCACTGCGGTGAAAAAACGAATATAAGAGATCCTCGCAGCTATGAACACTACTGAGTTACTAGTTGAAATAAGAAATGAAAAAACTCTAGGACTGTTAATGTGAACGAGAACATGATCAGTTCAGTAAGAATCCTTTATCTTATGGTGGAGGAGAGATGCTTTGCAACAAGAGCAGCGACGAGGCTGAGCATGCATTATTAAGGATAGGAAAGCAGCGAGAGATCTTCTTCAGATGCTGGAACACTTCAACAACCCTGAAGCGGAAATAAACAAATTTTTCACATGATTACAAGAACATGTTATGTACATTATTACATCTGTCCTTTCTACTAAATACATTTCTAGAATGAGTCCAAACAAAGCCAATGAAGTTGAAAAGATAATCTCACAAAAGTTTGCCATATTTTCTCTAAGGCCGAGAATGACTTACAAACGATTTACCTCTCAAATCTATCAAGGAAAACCGGAATATAAACAAGAGGTAGTACATATGTTTCTTGTTTGCATTTAATTGCATTTTAATTTTGCTCTGTATTTGTCGCTGTTGGTTATTTTCCCATAAGAAAATAGTAAAGCATCGTCGTATAGAAATCCCACAGTTTTCTTTTATGATAAACCAATTTTTTATTTTATGTTTCTCTCCAGAGCTCCGATGCTATTTACAATTTTCGCCTCAAAACACCCTTTGCATCTTTGTTAACATGATTGATTTGAATCCCAGGAGTCTCTTTTCATGATTCACGAATTTTAAAGTATTTTAGGATTATTACTCCTCCCAGCATGGAAGATGTTTGTCATGATTAAAAGCACGCAATAATCAATGGTTGAACCTTCTAGGATGTTCTCAAATTAACCAACAGATGTTGGAAAGAATAAAAGGGCAAATAAAATCTTCAGCGAAGGATTAATTATGTATATAGTAAAGCCCTAAACTCGGATAGCGAAAGCAGTCATACGAATTAAGAGGTAAGCTTATTCATACACAGTATCTATAATCTCATATTTCGAAGAAAGAGTTTTCATGTGATATGTCTTTGTTGTGGCGTAGACGCTTCTCTGAAAATGAGTAAGATGTTGATATATTTATATTTATCGTATGCAATATGATCTTAGCTCCTTTTAGAGCAACAATTGGAAATGGAATGGCACAACATAATCATAGCTGCCGTATTTCAACTCATGTTTGCCACCCTTGTCATCTTGACCACTGCTCTAGAAAGCAATGCGAACAAACCTGATCTGCATCCACTTATTTCCTTGGCGAGGAAAGATAATACAACAGTGAAATTCATCAGAGTAGCGTGGATCTCAAACCCTCCATACACATATTTACCTTCGAACGATTCTACCATTAACGAAGTTTTTCATGGATTAATACAAGACACTTTAATGCGTTACATAATGGTGGAATGTGGTGTGCTTTACGCTCATCCCGTTATATACCACTTTAAAATGTTTCAAGTTCACAGAGAGGAAACGTTGATAGATATGATGAGAAAAAATGAGGTGGATTTGGCTTGTCCTGTGCTCGAGCAACAGCATTCTCGGAAATACGGTGAATTTCTTTTTTTCAAAGTCAGTGACTATCCAGGAACGGACTTCATTCGTGATGATTTTGAAACCAATGCTTTCGCTGTCGTCGTTCAGTCGATACAAAAATCGTGGCCTTTGTTGGCCATAACTTTGAATCTCACGGCCATTGCTGGGATCATTATGTGGATTCTGGTAAGTTCGTAACACTTCGGTTGTAAATTAGCATTTTCTCTCTAAAAAGTCAAGGGTTTGATATCTCTCTTTTGCTTGGAGGGGTGTTGCAATTTTTAGGGTTGGTTTTGGAAGAAGGATACCACAGAACCCAGAAAGTGCTTTAACCTCTGCTCTTCCATCGAAGAAACCATTTCATCTCGACAAACAATGGGGTAATTCACCCCTTTTATGAAAACGAGTAAAATCATTTTGTAACCATAACAGCTTGATAGAGTAAGGAGCCCATTTTGAAACTCATTTTAATCATTGCACCCTCATAAGACGAGTGAATTTAAGTGCAGATACAAACAATTGGTTTTTAATTGCGTCTTTCGCTCTAAGCTTTGATCCACGCAACCTAATCTCGTGACGGTTGATCTTTAGACGCAAACGATTTTACATCGGTGTTAACACTAACTCTTCTATATCTCCCAAGCATCTTTGGGATGATTCACCCATTTCCTTTATGTGCTTTTTTTTCCGGAATTAAGGACACATACTGGAACAAAGATGAGTTTCCACGAAAGTTCATTCAAGGGTCTTGGCAAGGATTCTGGTGGTCGTTCGTCTCTGTCACCACTGTAGGGTGAGATGACAAAACGCGTTTATTTCCTTCTCAAGCTTTTTCCATTTTTTACAGATTTTCAATTTAATTATCTTAGCTTTGAGCGAATTTTACCACTTAAATTCCCCTGAAGTATAGCCTTGGAAGTCGTTTTCTTTTGTGATGCAATTTACAGTTAAATTTTTTTATTTGCTTAGTGAGAGTACACGTGATTAAAATGTAGTAATATACGTATGCTCCAACATACTAAAAATGAAGGTGCTGAAGATGTTTCTTCTTTCATATGTTAAACAGTGTTAGCTCATTTTCTTTAAATGCTATGCAATTTTTATCACTCAAATCTTAATCCAGCTCGAGAATTGATTAAAAAAAAAGTGACTTAAGGTTAGGAAGGACATATTAGCTTGCACCACACTGTGTTGAATGCTTTGAAGTCTGAAACTATAGGCATTGTGTTTAATGATTTTCAACATCAGTCTACGTTGAGCGTTTTCTCTTTATCAATCAAAGTATGTTTTAAAACAGATACGGTGACAAAGTTCCAAAGTCCATTCCAGCACGACTTTTCTCCACTCTATGGATCCTTATTGGAATGATCTTTATGACAATTTTTTCGGCTCACATCACGTCCTCTCTCACGGCTCTTTCACTGGATCTGGAACCAACCAGTCTCGCAGGTGTTAAGGTTAGAATCCGTAGAAATCACCTTTTTACATTCATGTTCTGAGTAAGGAGCTTACTGTTCCAAATGACGAAACATCTCTCAGTAAAAAAGATTGCTATACTTTGCAGTCTGGCGATTTTCTTTTTTCGTTGGTGTATTTGCTATGAAAATTTGTTTCAGTTCGCATGATTGACATGAAATTACTAATTAATTCTAATTTCTGTGATTTCTTTTCAAGGTTTAAAACAATGTTTTTTTCGGATGGTATTTTACCCACTAGAACACTTTTGGGGAAACATATATCCAACACTCACTAGCTGATAATACTCGAAAGTAACGTTCGTTGATCCGTCCGAATCGACCGTCGATTCGATTCGGAATCGTGAAGCAGAAATGATAACCCGCAAACTGATGCATTCATGACTCAAGAATATATCATGAGTGGAGAAGGATAAGTGTACTACTAAGTGTATGAATCGTGAATGGGAGTCACGACTTCTGTCGATTAAGGAGCACTTGAACACTAGGGGGAAAACGATAACCCGCAAAAACATAGTCCGTTTTCTTGAGTGCAATCTTTGCATTGAAACGAAGATCAACATAAAAAGTTCACTTTTTTTCCCATTAGTCTGCTTTTGTCTTTTCTTGTGTTTGTTTGGCTTATTTATTTATTTGTTTTTTGCTGATTTTTTTTTCATTGCTTGTTAGGTTGCGGTGCTGGGCAATGGAACTGAATACCAACATGCACTTGAGCAAAATGCTCACCCGAAAGGTGACCTCAATAAATAGCCGACTCGACCCAATGAAGAGTGACTTACGTCATTTAATGTCAAAGTCGATACTCTATAATAAAAAAGGGGAAATTGAAATATAACATATGTGTAAGAGACTATGCTCGTTGACGCTTATGATAGGTGTGATTTGAAATTTTAATGGTAGAATTATATTACGAAATATTGATTATTCTCTAGACTTAACCGTCAATGAGAAGGCAAGCATTTGTATTCCTGAAAAGAAAAAAAGAAAGAAAAAGACAGCTGAATCTTACAAAACTATTCATCTACTATAATTCTTAGGAAATCAATGCCCCCAAGGCCTTTCCGTGATGGCTTAGTAATTGTTCTCAATACTTAAATAACCTTTTTGTCTCAAAATTATATTCATTTGTTGCGTTTAGTTTACGAAAAAATAGACGAAATCATCAAGGCTGTTAAAACAAAGGAAGTAGAAGGAATTTTCTTGGATCGCTACAGTGCTTCCTATCACCACTCCAGAGGTGAACTGGAGTCTCTTATCTCTCTCAAGAGCTTGGATCTCTCCAGGGAGATCGGAGTGCTTTTTTCGGAGGACAACAGGGAACTAGCTCGTTGCTTGGAGTTTTATCGTCCAAATATCATGATGCTGACTCAAACTGTCACTTCTTCTTACAAGGTGGAGTCGTTGTAATTTCTACAGGTTTTTCTAGACACATTACATTTTTACGCGTCGCCATAAAAAGTGGCAAGGGTAGTCTATACCTAACAAGGGTAGTCTGTACCTAACATACATTATCATCCAGAATTCATTTTTTAAGATAATGGAAAAATAATTGAAACCCCTGATCGTATACCCCTAAGAGACAAATAAACTTATAAAATTTTTAGTTCATTATTACATGTCACTGGAATAGTTCATTTTATAGTTGTGTACTTAGTTGCCAAGCCTTTGATTTGGAGTGAGGCTGAAGGTGACCTTGTTGTGATAGAGACCGGTATCTAGGTAGCATGATAACAAAGAAATTTACCAAACCAAACCTAAACCAAACAGAGCGCATCCATCTCCTCCACATCAACTCTAACAACATTTCATTGCCCTTCTATTTAGTTTTTCATTTTTTCTTCTGCCTTGTACTCGTTTAGTTTTGACGGATAAACGAAATTCCAGTTACCCAATGGCATTTAGTTAGTCTAACTTAATCTCGCCCTTTCATTCAATTTGTATTTCCTTTATAACAAACTGAAATCCAACCCGAGTTCTGCAACGAGAGCGTAACTAAGCTCAGCGTAACTGTACCACATCTCAAGGAAATAGGTAAAAAGACACAAACGTTCATTGAATTATATTCATAAGATCATCTAAAAACCAACTTTTGTCTTTTTCAGCTAATGGAACAAAAGCGAACAAGGAAAGTCAATTTGTTCGACACGTCTTCCTCATTTCTTAGTGTTTTCATGTACATAACCCTCGGCATACTTACTGGTTTGCTTATGACTGGGACACTCTGGCAAATTCTCAGAAATAACTGCAAGACTGAAATCAATAAGAACATTATTTCAGGTAAGTGTGCCGCTGTCCATAAGAAACGCACCCGCTCAATGGCTAGTGCGCTGAATTCGAGGTCGAGAGGTCCACCTGAATGACGTAACCGAGTCACTGTGTGGTTTTCGTGGGAAGGACACTTTACTCTCTCCACTAAGGAGTATAAATGGGAATCGGTGAGATTTCAGGGAATCTTGACGAAACGATTAAGGAAAACCTTCCTGTGGCGTCATGCTACAGAAACCAGCTAAATGAGCCAATCGAATCGACTCAACCATATATCGCTCTACAGCAGTTAACGCACTCTTTTTTTTCTATCAATACTTGTCACTTGGGTAAAGTCGTCATTTTTCTTTTGAATACTTCTGCAAAAATTCTTGAAAGCCGTTTCCTGTCGACTGCTGTCGCACCACAGCAAACAAAAGAAAGCAAAGCAAGCTTTAATTCGTTTAGATTATCGTTGCGATAAAATACTCCATTATGAACTTTGTTTCCTCGATGACGGACATGATTGTGGGCCCTATTTCTTTTTATGTCTCTCAGTAGAACCAGTGAAGGAATGGAAGCTAAGAAGAAGCGAAGCCATCCAAGAAGACTTGGAAACAGCAAAAAGAATGCTATCCCAAATCCAAAAGCACTTCGAGAAACTCGAAGCTGAAGTTCTCAGAATATGACTGACGTCACTACAAATCATATTTATAATGTATATACATACACTTACACACCAACATAAGTCTGTCGATGTATTGGCGCAAGTTCCCAGGATGGGCCTTTTTTAAAATAAGATGGGTAACCGAGATGGTCCTGGTAGCGGGACGAGTTTCTTATGCTTCTAATATGGGACATTTCAACTTGGTAACCAATGTGAAACGAACAATACACGATCTTTTAAGCTTCACTTGTGTTTCCGTGATCTTTGTCATGGAAGCAAAGATCTCCGTAGCTGCACCAGCTCATCTCCTTGCATGAATACGTCGAAAATTTTACAAAGTGAACAATAGCGGGGAAGATCATAGAAACCAAACCATATAAGTTATCCAGGTGCATATGTCTTAAGAAGGCTCTTCTGGGCTGGCCCAAGACGATTTTTTTCATTACGTTCTAGGCTGCAAATTCTTTGATTAGTAGATGCTTCTACAATTTTTTGGTAAATTTGTGTCTGTTTTCAATGTTAACCCCAGTTTTCAATGAATTCTACTTTACCACCCCTTCCTTTAAGTTCCTTACAGCAGTCAAATAGGCCCGAGACTTAATAATAAAGTTCTTTATAGACATGTTCTCTCCATTTTTAAAACTAAACAATGCGCACTCAGGTATCACAGATTTTTGCTAAAGAATATTCATGGCTTCATATAATTTAATCTTTTAAGGATTCAAAATCCCTGGCAGATATAGGAAACATAAAAGACAGATGGATCCTACAGCTTTTTTCGGAATACCGGTCTTTGTTGACCCTCAAGTTATTTGATTGCCGTCCTATTATTATGGCAGAATTACGTCAAATTATTTCTTCGTGATATTTCTATTTACACTATATCACAGTCCTTTCCAAAATAAAGGAAGATAAATTTAATTTGTTCTGCTCAATTATGTGTCTTCTTCCTATTCATCCTTTTCATCTTGGATATGAATGTTTAATGATTCGGCTCTCCTTTGATCAAGTATTATCAGGTTGTTCAATACATGGCATAAACTTCTTGCATATAGAGAGCATGTTTGTCATTTGAAAATCAGTATGAAAAGAATATTAGCATGAATTATTGATTAAAATAACAGCAAAATTTTCAAAAAAGAGAAGGTTCAAAGAGCTAACCTTTATGTGAATCCGTGAATGAGAGTAACAGCGAGTTAAAGGAAAATTTACTGTAAAAGCTGGGATAAGCAGTTAAGTATTGCAGATAAAACAATTTCTAAATGGGGAAAGAAGGTCGGGTAGTCATTGTTTCATCATTTTCATCTTTCAGTTTTTTTTAATTTTATTTTTACCAACACAGTTAGCTTTTCATGTCTCATTCAGGCAAGTTGATATTATAAACCGAAGACATCTCAAGTTTTGATGAGGACATTGTCGCCGTAATAGATAATTGGTTTAACCTGGAAACCTATTTTCCTTCTGCCCATTATCGACTTTGGGCTTATCTCCATTTACAAGAGAACTAAAAAGAAGACTTTTCCACCGTTGCAGGTCTCACCATAACCGTCTTTGAGATATCAATTATTCACCTCATTTCTGTGAATTAATGCGCTTCAGTGGCAGTTTCACCACACAGACCATTACACTTCGCTTGTAATGACCATAGAATACCTGTAGGTTCTCTTTTTGAGTTACGCGAGGTATTTCCGAAGTTTTTTTAAAACTAACCCGACACTATTTTTTGTCAATTTCTTAATCCATCTTTCCTCTCTCGACAGCACAATCAGGAAAATATTGGAAATGTTGTCAATTTTCATTGTAATTGTTTGCGCAGCGAATTGGCAGTTTTGCAGTGCTTCCATTAGAAACTCGTCTATCAACCAAAACTACACCACCAGAACAGTGCCACCGACGAATTACCGAATGATAGTGGTGGGATGGATTCATAAGCCGCCATATCTGTATGCAGTTCCCAATGCTACACAACCCTCTGGGATGATGGAAGAAATGACACTGAGATTTTTACTTAGCTGTGGTGTAACATTCGTAGATAGTCATCAAGCTAGCAGCGAGTTTGAAATGATAAACCTTCTGCGGAAAAAAAAGATCGACGTTGCTGCTCCAATATTCGAACCCACGAGCGATAGACACTACAGCGAGTTTCATTTTATCAAAACAAGTGATTATCCGGGCACAGTGTATATTTCAATCGAAAACGGAGATGTTGTGCTTAATGCTGTTTTGGACGCCTGGCCTTTGGTTGCCTTCAATCTTGTTCTCGCAGCAATTGCTGGCATTTTTATTTGGGCATTGGTAAGTTTCGCTTTCTCCAATATTTTCAATCTTAGGAGTTCCCTTGACGTTTATATATAATTAGTCGAAACTTTGTGTTTTTCTTATCACAGCTTTACTCTTTTTCTTAGTTTTTCATCCTTTTGTTTATCTTCTTCTTACTGGTGCTCTTATTTTTGTTTCTATTGGAATCCTAGGACACATACTGGAACCCTGAAGAATTTAATCGTCCATTTCTCAAAGGCTCCTGGGACGGATTCTGGTGGTCTTTTATTTCCATGACAACTGTTGGGTGGGTCGATATTTGATAAAAACTGTTGAGATTGAAAAGATAATGTCTTTATGATTTTTTATAAGAACACAAACAAACAAAGGTCATGAGAGCTATATGCTTTTTTAAAAATGTTGATGATGTTCACAATACGAGTGTTTTTCCTTTTGGATGAGTTTCATGACACGTGGCAAATAGACATATAGAGATCTCGGTAGCTTAGAAACTACCTTCAAGCCATTAAACAATAGTAATACAAAACCTCAAAGAGCCTTCTACGACATAATGAAGGCGTTAGCCATCCACATAGAAGACATTGAAAAAAGAATTATTTTCACAATTGAAAGATGTCAGTCAGATGAACCCGTAAGAGATGTTGCCTGTTTTTATTACATAGGTATGGCGACAAAGTTCCAAAATCAGTTGTGGCACGTATATTTTCCGTAACATGGATTATATTAGGTCTCATTAGTATGTCAATGATTATGGCTCATATAACCTCTACATTGACGGCCCTCTCCTTGGAACAAGAACTAAGCTTGAAGGATCTTAAGGTTTGTTGTATGTTGCATGCATGTTACATGCACGTGTTGTTCGTTTGTTTCATAAGCGAAAGGATTCGAAAAATACTCACAGATGTCTTTTATAACAAGCTGTTAGGTCGGGTTCACGTGGTTTTTTAGAAAGGAAGTTTTAGCAATTGTCCTCATTTTATGTCAGTTCCCGAGGAAAAAAGGAGAACAAATACCCCTTAGGTGTCCTGAGACCCACACGATGAGCGTGTAATAATTTTGAACTGCTTTATCCAAGATTTTTTAGTAATCTCTTCGTCCAAATCTGAAGTTAGAGAAGACAGCATTTATTTTTTTCAGATTGCAGTATTAGACAACGGTACAGAATATCAGCATGCACTTGAAGAAGATGCAATTCCCAAAGGTATGATTCGAACCGCAGTTAAAGTATAGCAGGTAATTTATTGTTAACAACTGAGTTGAAAACGTAAATTGCCTACCGTAAAGAGTAAAAAAGCTGACGTTTCGAGCGTTAGTCCTTCGTCAGAGCGATTGGGGGGGTTGTGGGTTGTGTGTGGGTTTATATGCAGAAAGTGGAGCTACCCTTTTGGTGGGAGTATGGTGACGAGAAAACAGGAATAAATTAGTTGAAGGCTTCGCATTTTTCTGTTTATATCTGAGAGTATAAATCTTCCGCAAAAATGCTGAAATGATATTAATAATTCCTCCCTTCTACTTTGCCGAAGTGAAAAACACACCAGTTTAACAAATTCTGTAAATAACGAACGATTCAGGAGTACATTGCACTTGTTAGCAGTTGAACGTGCAGCAACTGAATTCGTTCTTGTTGAACAAAGATAATACTCTGTCGTTTATTAGTTTTTTGCAAGCTTTTTTTCTTGAGTACTCCCTAATCGTGGATAGAAGGTGTGAATTTTAAGCTATTTGAGTTATAATAATCTTGCCAAACAGAGGATAACTTAGAGTTGTTTGGTCATTCAGAAAGACCCTTAAAAGATTACTAAATTTTATTCTAGTGTTCGGAGATATTGATGGTGCCATCCAAGCTTTAAAAGCCCACGAGGTAGATGGAATAATG